TCACCTGGGGCAGTGTATGTTCACATTGCACCTTGTGGGTTACCTTGCCTTCAATAGTCATCTTCTGCTTTGTAAGTGCCTCTTGCAATGAACAGACTTACCTTGTCAGCCAGATAGTATCTAGAGCAAGGCCTCATTAGCAAAGCTTAATGTACTTGGATGCCTTCTCTCTGGGCTGCGTTCTGGGTTGTTAAAAGTGCTGAATGTATTGGTGTCGGTACAGATGGGCCTTTGACAATTTAGTGATGGAGACGATTTTGAGCAAGAGGCACTGCTAATGCCAGATACTGTATTTCTCTTTGATTGGAGGCTTAGTGTTGTACATCTGATTTGGCCAAATTAAAAGAGTATAAGACAAGTCCTGTTGGATTAAATCAGCCTGCCTCAACCTTCTGCCCTCCAGATGTTTTGGACTACAACTAGCTGATTAGAGTTGTAGTCCAAAATATTTGGTTGGGGGAAGGCTGGATTAGACCAAACTCTATCCAGTCCATAATTCTGTTCTAAGCTTCTAGGATGCTTCTAGGATGTTCTTAGCTTCTAGGATGCTTAGAAGCTGCTCGTAAAGGCAACAGCCCTTTCAGGTTTGTTCTCACCATCTGGTATTCACCAGTATGCGGTTCTTCTATGGACATTCTCTTGCCCAGAACTTCATCCCTCTGTTTGTTTACTGTAATTAGTACTGGTTATGCTTTATTGTGACTGATCCTTTGATTGCACAAGATATAGCACTGTTGGCAACCATTTGCAGCCTCCAAAAGGCCCTAATCACTGCTAATGCCATCTCCCAGTGACTCTAACTCATGAACACAATCATTACCACCATTTATGGATGCATAAAATAACTGTTTTGAGCTTTTGTATGACCAGTACAAGAGAAATAGCATGGGTTCTACGTATTTAGCATAAATATTGTGTTGCTTCTTGGTGATACTGTTTTTGCATTCCCATCAACATGTTTTGAGACTGAGTGTGATTTAAAAAGCCCAGTGATGCATGAAAGATACATTGATTTACAAAAATATCGCCTATCAGTACACATTTTGGGCAATCTAGATCTCCTTCAGCAGACTACCTTCTTTATCATGTAGCTACAAGCCTTGGAGTGATAGCAACTGGATAGCTTGGATTGTGTTTGGACTCTGGATGTCCTTATGAGTTAATTAATCTTCTGTCCGCTCCACATTGTTTGCACAGCCACAACCATAATGTCTGTTCGGCTCTGGAATAGAGGAAAGACTAAATTCAAGACTAGCAAAGGGATGAGTAGATACCTCGTCAGAATGTACACTATTTATCAAACTGCTCATTTTATGGAAGATGATGGCTATAAGCTGCTATTGGCAATTTGGAACAAGAATATTTCAATAACTGAAAAAAGAAAATTTGATTGATTGTTGATTGTGTTGTAGATCACAGAATTAGCAGTGTCTTCAAGCTGAAATGCTTCCATTAATTGATTTTGTTTACTTGGGTGTTTTTGGTACCTTAGTAGAGGTTATGAAATACGTCCTGCTTTAACTTTTCAAAGGGTGGGGGGAGTATGAACTGCAGATACGATTTGGACCTAAAGCCTCAAGTGCCTGGTTATCAACCAAATTCATCAAAAGAGAAAGCATGAATAAACACTGTGGAAGTGTTAGAAATAATGAGTTATGTTCAGCGTGATCTTGCCTTAAAAGGACATGTCACTGCTTTCTCTCCTTTTTTCTTTGTAAATACTTAAATTTACAACCCTTTGAATTTTCAGTAGAATTCCTCCCACTCCTTTTGGAGACTGGCAAATATTGATTCCTTTATTTCTTTGTCTTAGGACAAAAGGCAGGCTGGCTTCATTTGGTTTGCCTCTCTTTTAGATCACCTCCCTCATTAGGGATGTTGGCAGGAGTGCAACAGGCCAGTTGGCATCAGCATCAGGGGCCAATTTAACCCGTGGTGTAACTCCAAAAAAGCCTAGAGTTCTTTTGGGAAGGAGAAAACATTCTTTCTTAGCTAAGGGTGAACTGGTTCATAGTCGCACACAAAGGCAGCTGTGTTGGCCCATTAAAAAAATTCGAAAATCAATAGTAGGGCAACACCTCTGTTAGGCCAACCAAGTTGTCACAAAATAGTGTGCAAGCTTTCAAGTCCTCTAGGACTCTGTTAGTCAACAAAGTAGGGTTATTGGGTGGGTGGAAAGTAGACTGATATTGAAGCCATGGAGTGGTATTCAACTCAGAGTAGAGCTCCTGAGATTAATAAGCATGATTAAGTTAGGTGCATTAATTTTAGTAGGTCTGAAACCTTGAGTCTGCATCTGGCCACAATCTCCAGAAGGAACGTTAGAGAAGGTAGTAGACATGCCAAGGAGGCTCCAATAAGCAGCATGCACATTTCGAAGGCTAGTTACTACCCCCATATAAAATCCAGCTGTTATTAAGATTACTAGTATCCTTGTTTTCACCTGGTTTCAGTTTCCTAGCAATTGATTGAAAAAAAGTTACTGTATTGCCTTCTTTCAAAAATCATATTGTATTGAGAATCTTGCTACTTTTGAGGCTGATGGTTAGTGAGTTTTGTTCTTGATTTCAGATTTGCATTTATGAAAAAAGTGGCATAAGAGGAGTTTGACCAACTTTATGAGCTATAGAAGAACATAGCCCTCTTTTTAGTTTGTTACGTTCTAAGAATCTTCTGATTTTGCTTAGAAACGCATGTTCTTGAATGTTGCAGGTAAAAGATCAAAAACAAAATGGCAGTTTTGTTATACCACCTTACAAATAAAGAACACTGAGATGTTACCGGTATTTACATTTTGGTCATATTCTTTTCCCAAGTTTCTCATGGTGGTGTATTTCTCTTCCAGCAAAGTTTGCTAGGACATGATTGTAAACGTGTGGAACTTCTATCAAGTGACTTTACTCTCCTTAAAAAAAAAAAAAAGTTTTAAATTAAAATGCCAGTGGCAGTAACTGTGGAAAGCCAGACCAACGATAAGCTTCTTCAGCTGAAATTAGTAGTTTGATGGTGGTCAAATGTGCCACTTGGAAACTGAAGGAAGGAAATTATCCTGGCTTGCTTAAGGGAATGGTCAAGGAATCCTTACTCATCCTTAGGAAGTGGGAGGCCTCACCCCTGTTCATTCCTTGTAATTCCCTCCCCACTAGCCTTCAAAAATACATGCATTTTTAAAACACAGTCTGTAACTTTAGCTGTAACTCCCTTGGAATGTAACAAGTTAGAATAAAGTTCTAAATAAATAGTTTTGGGGAATAATTAAAGTGAAGACAGTGCTTACGGAACATCCTTAGCTTAGTTTTTGTGCTGAAGGCTTGCATTGCTACTTGCTTAAACATTACAAATGCTGGTATGTTTGAGCTGATATCCTAATTGTTTGTGGCCTGGAAAGAGAAAGACATCTTAAATTCTCGGCTGTTTGTCCCTTGGTACCAACATCTGTTTCCTCCCTTTGGGAGGAATCCCAGTTTTATGCTACACACTTGGGGAGATATATAAAATGACGAGCCTGATCTTTTAGAAAATAATCGGTTTCATGTTAACTTCATGAATATTTACATAAATTCAAGTACAGGAAGGGAAAGTTTTGATATAATTAATGCAAATTTCTCTTCAGCTGGTTAAAAAGAGGTCTGCCAGGAATAAAAACAGCTTAAGTAGTTTAGTAAATACATGCTGGAAACCACTACCCTGTGGCGTGGAACTTACAAAGATTGCTCAGAGTGAAGGAATATTTTACAAGGATTCCAAAGTCTGCTTCACGTAAGATACATTTTCCACCTGAAAGTCGCATCTATCTCAGAAGCAGCATGTAATTCTTTGCGTGTGATGATACAGGGTGGTGTCAGTAATAAAGAGTGCTGGAGTAGGACTGGGAAAACCTGGGTTCAAATCCCTGTCCAGTTATGAAGCTCGCTGGGTGAATTTCATATAGGATTGTTGTGTGAACTGAATCTTAGAGGCAGATGACTGGCTTTTATATGGTTTGGGGCTTGCAATCATGCCATTGTATTGAGTCCCATATTTCAAGGCAAATTGACCCCTCTGAAAGTTGGTTTTTGAAAGTTTGTTCCCTTAACTTCTTTCAAAATATGTGTGGGAACCATTGTGTTAATTCCTTGCTGGCCATGCCATTGAGAATGACTTTGAAGGCCATATTTTGAATGCTTCTGTGCATTACCTGGCAAAGATACTGCTCTCTACCCTCCCCTAAGAATCAAGTTCTTTATTTGTCTGTTGCTCTGGGAGATTGCAATCTTAGGGGGTTTCTTCTGCCTGAGCTGTGTACAGTCATTATACCAGCTGCTGGGCTGGCTGATTGTGCTAGGATTAATTATTGTTAAAAGCTCCTGGCTTTGCTGGGCCAATTCCTACCAGATGTGACACCACTCGGCCTACTCCAAAAAATAGTCAAATGTCATAAGCTCAGGTCCTGTGTGAGCATCCGTTGTCTGCCCTCCCAATAATAGACTATTGTACATAGATTTCTGGAGATGGAAAAAAACGCAGCTTGAGCCCGTGTCTGTTTGAAAGAGAAGGCCCAAGATAAGATCATTTCTCATGCTCAGCAGAGAAATGGAGGACGCTGACACATTTTACTGACAAATAGGTGCAGAGAATGTGGCCATGCATTGAATGCAGAAGGTCTCAGGGAATACATTGGTGAAGACTCCTGCAGAGAGCAGGATTGAAGTCTCTGATCATCAGCTGGTGAGCAGAGAGGTCAGTCCTGCCCAGTAGCTCCCCACACCTCTGTGGGTCAGCTCTGACAGCTAGGTGGCCCTGCCAGATAAAGACCTGGCTCACAAGGCAAAAAATGTAAACAGCACTGAGTTAGCTGGATCAATGATCTGATTTAAATGTATGAAAACAGACTGTTCAGCTTCCTATATGCATATTCTGTCCTTAGTCCACTGCTTGGCTTTTTGTAAGTGATGTCCCTCTACATAATAGTTTTTTAAATGACTGTCAGTTTTCTTAATATATAAAAAAATTTAAAAAATTGTCCAGTAGCACCTTAGAGACCAACTAAGTTTGTTCTTGGTATAAGCTTTCATGTTCATGCACACTTCTTCAGATACACATGAAAGCTTATACCAAGAACAAACTTAGTTGGTCTCTAAGGTGCTACTGGACAATTTTTTATATATATTTTGACTGCGTCAGACCAACACCTGATGTCTATTACTTCATAGTCTATTTGCTCTGCTACTCTTTAGCTAGTTTAGTACAGCAGAATTTTTTTTCACTGAGTAAACTAAGACTAGCAGAAACAGCTTTAATCTGATGAGCTGCATGCTCTTCAATGGGTTTTCAGCTGAGACCGAAAATAGTGACTTGCCAAAGGCGAAATCATAAATGCATAGGATATCTTTGCTGAGACCTGAGCGTGCTATCCGCTGGAGTGCACTGGCTCTTTGTTCAAATTTTCTGCCTGAGTGACCTCTTCCATACCTATCCAGTGTTTCTCTTTAACTCCCAGCTGTGATTTTCTATATTTATCTTGTGGTCTTATTCTGTATGTATGCCGCTAGTGGTTTCTCGTTTTCAACTCATCTGGAGCAGAGCAGAGCTCTTTCCTCATGGAAATGTTAGATAATGGTTCATGCTCTGAAATGGGTTCTGGCTCATAATAAATCCATTGCTCTTTTAAGGTGCCCCAAAGCTCTCTTGTCATGGGAAGCTCTGTAGTTGTGGGTACTACTAATTCCAGATTTTTTAAAAAGGAGGTATGGAACTTGGATGCAAAACTCGAATTCACGAACAACATGAATCAATTTCCAACAGTGTTCTCCTCAGTGTGGTTGAATAAAGATTCATAATTTTTGTATTGATGTGAGGAAAGCTCATATTTGCCCTCTACAAGCTTAGAGGCTAGTTCAGTTAAGCAATATTGCCCTCGTTGCTTCTGCATCACCTGGTTTTGGGGCTCCTAACGTGGCAGCAGCTGCTTTTACCTTAATGCAAATAAGAGAAGAAAAAATAATGAGTTTCCTTCAAAGTTATGAAAACTTCCAGAAAGTTTTCTTTCTGGAGCATGCCTTCACTATTCAGGGATCATACCATCTCTTTGGGAATCCATGGTGTCTTTCTTTTACAGATCAGACAAAGACAGGAAAACTTCAGGCTTGCAGGGTATCTACTTTCTATTTTACTAAAACCCAGAGCCCACCAACTGGATTTAGTTGCAAAAGACATGGGTGTGATAGTTTGTGAAATTTGGATAAAATTGTTTAAGTGTACTGAAATTTAATAAAAATTTATGGGAGAAGCAAAAGACATACACCTAAAACTTAAGAATTCTGAGCCCTTTGTTTTAAGTATTGGAACCGAGCTATACGCTCAGAGTCCTTACATACTTTCTTTAGTTCAGTTGTATAATTTGGGTGGTGGGGGTGGAGAAAGCCATTTTGTTTTTGCCGTTGTTGAAACAGTTTGGAGTCAGATGTTTTTACTGATGTACTCCAGATCACTCAGAGATCTTCTGGTAGATCCAGAACTACCTTCTGTTCACCATTGCTTTAGTCATAACAGCAGTGACTTGTGCAATAGGCACTCACCTCATTCATAGCTAGCCATGGCTTCTTCCCCCAATTATCACTGTCCTATTGTTGTAATGCTAAACTGGAAATGAGGAGGCAGAGGCTGCACAAGAAAAAGTGCCAGCAAGCTGAGGCATTGTTTAACCTGTGCTACCTGTGGTTATTTTGCTAGACTCCTGTCTGGACTAGTGGAGACAAGGTGAGCTTGTGGGGTTCACAGGTGCCCGATACCCTGAAACAGTGCAGCCGGCATTTGAAACTTCAAAGCACTTTGTGTGGAAGCTGCCTCACTGTGTGCCTGGCATGCCAAGCACAAAAATTCGAAAACTTCTATCTAGCAACTGCTATATTTAAATTCCCTTATTTGTTTTTGTAAATGCTGCACCTCTGTCTGTGGTAATGGCAATTAGCATACAAATTAGTCCTGTTGTTGATGAGAGTCTCTTCCACCGGTGCTGCAGAGCATCTTTTGTAGACAAGTTTTCCTAATGAGCCAACAAGTTCAAGCAGAGGCTATGGAAAAACCCCAGTCAGGATCTTATTTGGCTGCCCAAAATTGCTTGCTTTATTATTGCTAAACGTTGGGGGTTACACCTTGGGTCAAAGACTGAAGATGTAGATACACAGACTTGATTCAAACATCACTTCTAATTGGCTGTGACTTTGCTAATATCAAACCAACCAGGAAAACGGTTGGGCACACTCTGAGTTAGGAAAGGGCTACTGTCAGGGCTGTGTCTAAGGGGTGCAGGGCCCAGAGAAAATAATACTGTTCCTCCAGCCCCATATCCCCAGTTGCCTTTCTCTCCTGTGATTATGGGCAGCAAATCTGTTTTTGTGAAATATTTCTATGATATAGTTGTGAGGTTGGAATGGCAAGTGATGATGCAGGCAAAAACTGGCTGTGTCCTTTAGTAATTCTTATCAAGGCCTTCTTGTTGGTTGAAGCTTAGCTGAAAGGGCCCATACATTGCAGTCTTGCTGATCTATGTGGACACAGATGTGAGCGCAACTGGAAATAATCAGCAGGTCATGCTCCAATACTTCTCAGGCTGTTGGTGCAAAGTATATACTGAAATGCTCAGTTCATTGTTAATTGCTGTAAATCTGAAGCATAAAGTTCACATTGGGGCATCTCTGGTTTAAAGCAAAATGTTTGCTATTGTGTTGATGGCTTAGATCAGTAGCTTAATATGGTTGGTTGGATTCTTTATGAATTTTCGGGATCTACTGACCTTAGTTGACTTCCTTTATTGTTTAGCATAAAGTACAGTTTTCACAACTTCTGCTCATCGAGAAAAAAAGCTGGGATAGGGGTTAAGTAGGGGAGTTGCATGACAGGACGGGTCTGTGGTGGATCCTATCGGGCATTAAGACCGTGATCTTAACAGGGCTGTTTATGCTTACTGTATATGCTGTTGAAGATCTCCGATTGCCTGTTGAAGATTATCAGTCGGCTAGTCCATTGTGTGTAATTTGGCAGTTAGGTAGGCAACCTGGATTGACAGGTGAGTTTGAAGAGAGAGGTTCCAACAAGGCAGAAATAATAGAATGGAACTTCAATTTGATGTTTATGATTTAAAGCATCAAAAGACTGTCTAGCTTAATCTGAACTGATTGTTCAGTTGCAGTTCAACTCAGTGCTGTAAGGTTCAGTACAGTTTAGTTATCTACCTAATGAATAAAACATACTGTATTTTGGGCTGTTGTTACTTTCTTTATAAAGTTACACTTACTATAAATGTTGTTGTGGTTTCTGTCTGTCTTTCCTTGCATCAATATTCAGTGGGATTATGTGCCCAGTGCTGGATTCACTAAGGCTGCTAACTTCATTATGTAGTAGCAAACATGCCCCTTGACCAAGAATGCTGTGGGTCATGCCTAAGCCACTGAACCATACGTAACATTTGTTGAAGTTTTATGCGATGTAGGCCAGCCCAAAGAGCTGAGGTCTCTGTGACCCTGGAATCTGCCAAGTGCCAAATGGCGCAGAAGAAGCTACAATCTAGGGAGCAGTTATTGGACTAGGCATCCTGTATAAGAGACATATCTATAGATTCTGACTTGGGGGGAGCTGGAGAAGGGCACCTCTGCTGGTTGATGCTTCTCATCAATTCAGCTTTTAACTTGTAAAGGAAGAATTTTTACAGTGAGGTTCTTTTTTTTTCTTTTTTGCTTGGAGGTCTCTTCCTGGGGTTATAAAAATAAGAGTAATTGATCCCAAAGAAAGTAGAATAAGAGAAATTCGTTTTATTGTATTGCCACTTGCTGTGTACATTTCATTCATCATTTTGTCTCTGAAAGGCTTTTGTATCCCAAGACTTCTGAGTTGGGCCTGTTTGGCATCTAATTAGCATAGCCTGCTCTAGCCTCCTGCTTTCTTTGTTCTAAAGAGCTCAAAATTTATCCCTCTTGCAGCTTTGCATCCATTTACAGCTGCCAGAGAGCACTTGATTTTGGATAAGCTAATTTGGTCCTGAATTGCCACGCCAAAAAGTATAGTGACTACTGCCCAAGGCCAATTAAGTATCTGTTTTATACTTAAGGGATGAATGTGTGTGTCATTATGGCATCTGTTTAGTGCAACTCCATATCCAGAGAGTGGTTTGCTAATTTGGACCGATTTTCGGAAGTCTAACAGTAACTGGAGGTTTTGTTGATCCACCCTGTTTTTGGGAAATGAACAGTCCCAGCTTGTATCTGTAATGCAGGTTGTTTAGCTTCTGTAGCATATTGTATGGATGTTCTTAGAAGATGGACCAGGCAATAGTAGTCCTGGATCTTTTGCTCTGGACTCCGTATTCCTTTCTTTCTCTTTTTTTTTAAAAAAAACTTGACCATCTGTTTACTTTTATTTTTTCACTTTGCTTATGAAGTAACTGGCGTACTACAACATGCATGCTGGTGAGATCCCATCCTCCCATCATCTTTATTTACTCAGAGCATCTATAAATTAGCATATGCAAATTTATGCCATGGGCTTTGGCCCCAAGTCTCTTTTAAGTACCTAGCAATGCTCTAAGCCTACAGTATTGATTTGTAACAATTTATTTATATCTGGTTTTATGCTGCGTTTAGTTATTCTATGTTGGAAGCATATGCTGTGTTTTGAGGTTGGGCACTTGCAAGTCATTCACTTTCTATGTGACTCCAGTTATAACAGATGCACAAATAAAAATATAATCCAGGAAAGCAGGGGCAGTGAACATGGTGCCTTCTAGATGTTTTGGGCTAAAGTGCCCATCATCCTTGGCCAGTGGGCTAAAGGCGGTTGTAGTCCACAGCATCTGGAGGGAAGCACATTGTCTTCAGAGATGCAGTTGCTTCCATCGGAGATTCCTAAATTAAAGGAAACACTGTCAGGGTTTTAGAATGACCATTCACTGTTGCTGTGTTCCTTCCCTCTTGTCCATTTTCATAAATTCAAAAAGCCCAGGTAAGATGATATTTTTCTGCAAAAACTCTGAATGTTGCACTAAGCCAAACTGTGGCTCAGCACAAATGTGTGAGCTCCCAGGGAGAAGATTCTGGCCACATCATTCCTTCCTGGTTGTTTTGCTGCTGTGCCACACTGAGTGTCATCTAGACCTAGGCT